TTGAGCTTTATAAAGTCATTTATACAAAAACACCAAATCATTGAAATATATGAAATCCATGGGGGAAATGTCTTATGTGTTTTATATATATGTTACATTTCCCTGATTTCTTTTCAAAGAATATTTTATGTATGTTTTACTTTCTTTTGAAGATCCACTTTAGTATTTTTTGGAAATGCAGTTATACAGAGATAAGAAGATACACAGAGAAAAATCTTCCATCGGCTGGCTCACTACCCAAGTGGTCAAAATGGCTGGAGCTAAAGCTGATGCAAACTGATCTGAAGTTAGGAACCAGCAGATTCTTCCAGGTCACTACACAGGTGCAGGGTCCGAGGCCTTTGTTCAGCCTCTACTGCTTTCCTAAGCCAAAAGCAGGGAGCTGGATGGGAAGTGGAGCATCTGGGACATGAACTATTGCCTATATGGGATCCCGGTGGATGCAAGGTGAGGATTTAACCAAGGCTGTCACGCTAGGTCCATGTGTTTTACTTTATACTTAACATCTAATAATGTATTTAATACATCATTTCTTCTTAAAATATGAAATTTTAAATGTCATGTTAACTGCAGACCTCATTTTCATGAAAAATATTCTAGCCACTAGGCTATTGCTCCAGGCCTTATAATTTTGAGTTTCAAATAAATAAACAAAATATCTTAAAAAGGAACACAGAGTATAGAACTATAATCACTTGAATTACAAGCTCAGCTCATTAAATTCTACTGTGTAGTACCAGATGACACACTTAACTTCTAGGTTTCCTCATCTCAAAAGTAGAGTAGTATTTCTCTGCCTTGCAAGTTTTTAGGATAGAATAAATGAGTTGACAGTATAAAATATATAAGTACACAGGGAATGCTACAAATGGTTTACTTACTATTTTATAGCTATTATGTTTAAACGAATTAAGTTACTAATTAAGATGATTTGAAATTTAGAAAGATTAGAAAGTCAAAAATATTCATTTCCATTTAACATCTATAATAATTTTTAACTCAAGTAATGCTCGAGATATGAAATGTTTGCAAAAAATGGGTAATAAATGAATTTTAATGAAGTCAATTATTCATCACAGATTGTAATCAGCCTTTTCAACTTTATTCCTTCACTAAGCCAAAACTTCTTAAGGGAGAATAAGAAATGTCATATCCTGTTTATGTGTCTTGTCTCAGAAAGAGAACTTAGTGTTCTTCTTATATAAGAAGACAATCATTTCCAAAACAGTAGAATGTGATTAATTGCCTCTTGATTGTGTTTCCTTTTGATGTGCTCAGAACATATCTTTAATTTATATGTTTTGACAAAGAAATTCAATAACACATTCACTAAGCAGACATAATTTTCATCAATACACTGTTAAAGAAGCAATTGTACTCTATCCTAAATGAAAAGGAAGAAAAATCAACAAATAGATGTTTTTCGGGATATGATTTATGACAGGAGTTCTACAAACTGTTTTTCTGTGCCAAATATCTCCTTTCAAGTGCTATTTTTCTTTTAGAATTGTGTAATGTCTCTCATTTTATGCCAGAGAAATAGGCAGGATATGAATTTGACATCACTTGCCTGGTGAGAGTGTGGAAAAGACTCTGAGAATGCTATTTACTTCCATACAAAAGGTCACAGAATTAATTCAGCAAGTCAATGCTTGAAACTGACTGGCTGAGAGCCTCGGATATTTGGAAAATTAATGTGTGTATGTTCAAAATGTACGTGTGCACACTCCTAAAAACCCTTTCACAAGGCAGAGAACATTGTGTCCACCTAATTTTACAGTTGCTTTTTCAGAGAGAACTTTGTAAACTTACAAGATCTTATTCACAGGATTTCTTTACCTAGGGGAACCAAGGGTGAAGGTTCTTTTAAATTTTAAACTTTTTGAATTAATCTAATGTGCTATGGATTGAATCCAATTAATTATCAAATGACCCTCTTGCTATTCTTAAAAACGTAACAGCTTTATGTTTTTTATGTCTCCGGTTATTTTAATTGAATCTAACTCACCGAGGATATTTACTGTAATATGTAGATCTTTTTAACTTTGTGTTTATGTTCTAGATAAAAACACAGTTTGTGGAGTGGGTAATTGGTCTAACAATTGGACACCTGCATCTTTCAGAGATCCTGGGTTCAAGTCCTAGCTCCACTTTTTATTCCAGTTTCCTGCTAACGAATATCACAGGATGTAGCAGTGATGGCTTAAATACTCTAGTTCATGCTTCCCACACAAGGAGAATTTAATTTGTTCCCAGCTAGTTCCAACTCCAACTATCCCTGACATTTGAGGGAGTAAGCAGCATATGGGAGAGCCCCGTCTGTGTATTTCCATGTAATTCTTCCTACCAAATAGAAAAGTAATATTTTTAAGCACCATTGTAAAACATATGACTACTATTAATAGAATTCTTGGTTTTTTATACAACATAAATCCTCCTGTTTTTCAAGTTTTATTTTCTATTTAAAAGATTTGCAGAGAAAAGGAGCAAAGAAAGAAAGACAGATAGGGAAGTGAGGGAGGGAGGAAGGATGGAAAGAAGGAAGGATGAAAGAAAGAAAGAAAGAAAGGAAGGAAGGAAGAAAGAAAGAAAGAAAAAGAAAGAAAGAAAAGAAAAGAAAAGAAAAGAAAAGAAAAGAAAAGAAAAGAAAAGAAAAGAAAAGAAAAGAAAAGAAAAGAAAAGAAAAGAAAAGAAAAGAAAAGAAAAGAAAAGAAAATTTTTCTATTGGTTGGTTCACTCCCCCAAAGGCTGCAACAACCAGAGCTGAGCTGATTCAATGCCAGGAACCAGGAGCTTTCTCTGGTCTCACTTGAAGGCCCCAGACTTGAACAGTTCTCTGTTGCTTTACCAGGCCATAAGCAGGGAACTGGATAAGAAGTTGAGTGGCTAGGACTAGAACTGGCGCTCTTACAGGATATCAGTGCTATAAGGCAGAGTATTATCAGGCAGAGCCACTCTACCAGCCCCAAATCATTGTGATTTAATTCGCTCATCTTTGGGCCCACACTATAGAAATTGTGGGCCGAGTAAATGAGTATGTTTTAGTGGGAGAATGCATTGTCAGTGATTAAGAACAAAGTTTTTTGAATGTTTCCTCTGTGTCAATTATTTGTCTAAGAACATGACAAATGTCAATAATGTATTGCTCACGCTAACTCTCTGGAGTACTATTATCTTCATTTAGAAAAAAACTACAGGGCCCGGCGCGGTGGCGCAGTGGTTAAGGTCCTCGCCTTGCACGCCCGGGATCCCATATGGGCGCCGGTTCTAATCCCAGCAGCCCCGCTTCCCTTCCAGCTCCCTGCTTGTGGCCTGGGAAAGCAGTCCAGGACGGCCCAGGCACTGGGACCCTGCACCCGCGTGGGAGACCCAGAAGAGGCTCCTGGCTTCAGATCAGCGGCATAGCATCGACTGTTGCGCTCACTTGGGGAGTGAATCATCGGATGGAAGATCTTCCTCTCTGTCTCTCCTCTCTGTATATCTGCCTTTCCAATGAAAAAATAATAAAAATAAATCTAAAAAAAAAAAAAAGAAAAAAACTACAGTATAAGGAGATGAAGCAACATAGCTATATTGTGACATTTGGGTAAATTCTTCTGTGTAGAGTGTTCACAAATACACTTATTTTTACTGGAAACATTTTAATAAGAGACTTTCTGGATAGCCCTTAAGAAAGAACTTGATTTTATTTATTTTTAAAAGATTTACTTATTCTTATTGGAAAATCAGATATACAGAGGAAGAGAGACAGAGGAAGATCTCCCATCCGATGATTCACTCCACAAGTGACCACAATGGCCTGAGCTGTGCCAATCCAGAGCCAGAAGCCAGGAGCTTCCTCCAGGTCTTCCACCCAGGCCCAGCGTCCCAAGACTTTGGGCCATCCTCATATAGCTTTCCCAAGCTACAAACAGGGAGCTGGATGGGAAGTGGAGCTGCCGGGATTAGATCTGGTTTCCATATGGGATCCTGGTGTGTTCAAGGCTTGGACTTTAGCTGTTAGGCCACCACACCAGGCCCTAACTTGATTTTAATAAACTTGATTTTGGATCTGACTCTCTCTCAGATTCAGAAACTGAAAATTGTTGATGGTTCTAGAGGAGATTTGGGTAGTATTGTTTTCTAACAAAAAGTACTTGAGTGACAAATTATTAGAATATCAACGCAGTAATAATCTCTAGAAGTGGGAGGAAGAGTTTCCCCAAGGAATGTCCCTTGTGTTAAACAAAATTAGAATTTCATTAGGTAAGCAGGAAATTATACAGTGAATGTTTATAGAGTATTATTTCTTTACTATCAAGAGGGTTGAGGGAGAGCTGTGATCCCACAGAGGAAATTCTGACTCTGATAATATTCCAAGTCTTCCTGATTCCCTGCAATAAAATTTGCTGGTTGTTCTTTGGCAACTTCTCCAGTGTTGTTATAAAGCTGTGTGAAATTTGATGTGTAGACTTTTTTTTTTTGCATTCTGCTATTTATGTTTACAAATGCATTGCCCTTGTTATACTCGCCCCTCAAATACTCAATGTAATCTTGGGGAGATACATGCCTTCTGCTTGGTATTAAATTTACAAGTCTTACTCACAAATGTGTTTGGGGAAAACAAAGCAAAAAAACAATTGTATTTGGGGGGATTCTCTTCTGGAAGAAGAGCTGTCTTCTGCATATCTGTAGTCCTTTTTAAAGAAATTTAAAAATAGATGCATAAATAGTAGCAATGGGATTTTGTGTATTCAACCATTCCTCACAACTTCCCCCAAAACAGATTTACGTATAAGGTCATCTTCAAAATGTTCATGGAAAATGCCTATGTTAAAACTTTATGCATGAATGTCAACATTTTTGCACTGAAATAGCTCCTTCATAATAAATAATATACCTAACCTCGAGAACACTGCTTTATATACGGTAAACATTACCAGCTGCACTGTTTTTATTTAACAATATAACATTATCATTGCATCAATTTCCTTTATAATAGCTAATTTAAATTCTTTCAGACTGACATTAACACTTTCCTGCCCAATGGATCTCAAGAATTTTCCCATGGATGTACAAACATGTATAATGCAACTAGAAAGCTGTGAGTATGAACATTTTACTTGTTCTGAGCCTTTAAAGTATAGCAGACTTGAACTTTTCATGAATTATATACAGAGTTTGTTTTGGGATTGTTTTGGTCACATATTTACTAAACAGACATGTACTCTCTGACCAACTGTTGAAGCAGCGATAGCTTGTCAATACTTGATAATTGTCAACTCTGAGAAAGAAGTAAATTCAAGATCTATTAATAACAGCTTTTAAGTTTGATATTAAATATTTATCTTTATGTATGTCATCAAAAGTAAGATGAATAAGGGCCAGCATGTGGATCAGCAAGCTGAGCTGCTGCTTATGCTGCCTGCATCACATGGCAGAAAGCTAGCATTGAGTCACACTTCTGCTTCCAACCAACTTCCTGCTAATATGTCTAATGAGCAGTAGATAATAGTTAAAGTATTTAAGTTCCTGTCATTCACACTGGAGACAGGGTTGGAGTTCTTGCCTCCTAGCCTGAGCCTGAATCAATCCTGGCTGTTTCAGGCATTTGGGGAATAAATCAGCAGATGGAAGTATACAGACACACACTATGTGTCTTCCTTCATCATGTTGCCTTTCAAATAAGAAAGTAATAAAACTATTTTTAAAAAGTAAAAAAGACGAGTTATTTAAAACAAACCATCATTCATTTTTGAGTGCCAACTTACCGGGCAAGTATTTCTGTATGTATTAGTTCTTATAACAAGAATATTGTCATTATTTCCCATGTTTTCCATGTTTCCAAGGTGAAAATGGTTATTTAGAGTGATTGAGTGTTGTATTGGACATCTCAGAGGACTACAAACTACTTCACCCCAAAGCCTGCATGCCCTTCAGTTAACTAATATGTATCATGTTAACACGGCTATACAGAGTATATTACAGATGTTTTCTCAGGAGAAAATTTCTCACACATTTTCAGAGTTACACATTATCAGAAATTTGTGCAAGCTTTTAGAAACTTCTCTAAATTGTGTCTGTTATTTTTTAAATGATTGTTTTACTTGAATGCCAGAATATACAAATATATATCCTCAGTTCCTCCTCCACCCCAACTTGTTTTTTTTCTGAAGTGAAACTAGTCTTCAAACTTTGTGGTTGGCGTTGCAGCACAATGTGTTAAGTTGCCATTGGGGATGCCTGCATTTCATATTAGAGGGCTAACCCTGAGTCCTAGCCTTATCATTTCCAACAGTTTCCTGTTAAATTCACCTTGGAAAGCAGCAGATAGGGACTTCATTATTTGAGTCCCTGTGATCACTGTAGGAGACCTGCATGAGCGATTGGGTCATGGATTTGGTCTGGTCTACCGCCAGATGTTGCACGTATTTGGGAAATGGATCAGTAGACAGAATCTCTTCATTGACCTCCGTATCTTTTTGTGCATGTATATATATATGTGTACACGTATTTCTCTGCCTTTCTAATAAAGCAAAATATTTTTAACCTCTTGAAGTTTTTCATCTTGCAAAATTTGTATACTGTATCCATTCAATCACAATCTATACTTCTTCCCTCCATCATTTCCTAGAAACCACATTTTCTTATATTTCTATGAATTCAATAACTTTAGCATTAGGTGCCATGGCATTATAAGCTAGGCATCTGCCTGAAGCTGGCATTAAAAAAAAAAACAGAAGCCAATTCACCTACTGACTGTTCCACTTCTGATCCAGCTCCTTGCTTATGAACTGGGAAAGTTGCAGAGGATAGCTCAACGCCTTGGGCCTCTGTACCCATATTGGAGGTTCAGAAGAACTTCCAGCTCTTGGCCAAATTCTGCCCATGGCAGCCATTTGGGGAGTGAACCAATGTGTGATAAATAGGTCTCTCCTTCTCTCTCTGTTTCTCTGTGCCTCTTAAAAAATTTTTTTATTCATGTAAGTGAACTCATACAATATTTATTTTTTCTTTGATTTCACTGAGCATTTTCAGTTTAAGATTTATCCACTTGTATCAAACAATTATTCCTTTTGAGTCTGAATAATAGCCCATGCACATATACACCATATTTTCTTTCTTCATTACTTTGTCAGTGGATACTTGCACAGCTTCCTGATTTTGATGACTCTGATCAATAATACTATCAACAGGGATGTAGAACTGTCCTTTCCAGTTTGCTTCACTTGCTTAAGGTATATAGCTAGAAGTAAAGTTGTGGGGTAATATAATTCATTTTTGACTTTTTAAGGATCTACCATGTTTTTATTAGCGGAGTTACCATTTTAGTCACCAACATGCACAAAGATCCAACTTCTCCACATCCTTTCCAATATTTGTTATGCTTTAAAAATGCTGGTTAACAGTCATTTTAATGAGTGTGTGATTCAGTTGGGTATTTTGAGTACCCAAGATCATCTGTAATTTAAAGCATTTCAGTCTTTTGTTTTTAGTAGTGATTCTGTCATTTATCATTCTTTATTGCTTCGAGCTGCCACTGTTTCCCTTTATCCTCACTCCAAATAATCACACTTCTAAAACTCACACTCTTGTCGCAGACCAAATGTTCTTTTCAGAACATGCTGCCTCAAAACTTGAGATGTACTTCCCCTGGAGAGAACTTCAATGTCCAATCTCTGTGATCCCTTAGAGGATGCAATCGGTACATCATCTGCTGCTTGTCTCAAGAGAAGAAATGCAAGGAAATGAATTGAACCTTGAATCTTCCATGTAGAACCTAGACAAGCTATATGAATCCATTAATATTTCACAGACTCACTCTTCTCTGTTCTAAGATAAGTGAACTACATTGAAGGTCGTAGAGGTCTTTCAAATTCTAAGAATTTGTGAATTCTCTAAATATACAACATCATGAATCTAAAAGGTAAAATTAAGACAATAATATCTAGAAATCACTGAATACTCAGAATGAGAAGGATCAAGGGTAAAAAGCAAAACAAAATAAGTGAATAAAGAGGAATATTCTATATTAACTACTAAGAGGAAAATCAGCCAAATGAAAACTAGAAAGAAAAACTGGGTACAACCTAAGAGAAAACATTACTAAAGAAAATTTAAAAGACACACGAATACTGGAGATGTGAACCTTACAAATGTTTTATACTGAAGTCAAAACCTCAGAAGTGTGAGTCATTCTGGCAACGGCTTTGGCTGTTTACTTTATGTCGTTGTTCTGGGGCAGCCAGGTTCATGGATCGCTACCAGTGGATTCTTACTGGTTATGTAATAAGCAACCCTCTCACATTTCAAGACTTTGAATCTCTAAAGTGTTTTTTAGAGTACTACTCCCTAGTAGTTTTTTCAGAGTAGAATGAAACACACAAATACAGTCCTGGAAAACAAAAAGGTCCTGCCAATGTATTTGTTCTTAGTCATAGCAAGAAGAGTCATATCGTGTCTAGTCTTCCAGCCTGTGGAAGCATTGATGAATGGACATGATTATGGGGGTATGTATTTGACCTAGCAGTGAAGATGTCATTTGGGACACCCACACTCCAAGTCAGGGCTCATGCATTTAACTCTCAAATCCACTCTCATATCTAGCTTCTTGCTAATATACACCTCGGAGGAAGTAGATGAGTTCTTAAGTAGGTGGGTTCTTGCCACCCCAATGAAGGTCATGGATTGAGTTCAAGCATCTCAGTTTTGCCTTGGCCAGTTACTGACTTTTGCAGGCAACTGGGAGTAAACTTGTGAATAGAAGATAGCTCTTTTTCTGTCTCTGGCTATCAAGTAAATTAAATAAGCTGAAAGAATATTTTAAACCATCATAATATATGTTTAGATTTTATTATGAGAATTTTCTTAATTTGTCATTGCACATAAACATGGTAGAAATACACCATCAGTATGAGTTACATTGTTTTCTAGGAATAATGACTTTTTTCTGTGTTAATAATATTCTCACAAATTTATCCTACACAGATATTTTTGAAGTGACGAACTATGTCTGAGTATCTAGCACTAGTATATGTAGCTATCATGGTCATTTATAATTGAACCTTCATCTCCAACATAATTATAATCAATGATATACTATCATTTACACTAAAAAATAAAAATGACATATCCTTTCTACACAAAACTCTTGTCTCCAGGAGTTAGCTTCTCATATTTGGCCGAAATAAATTGATATTTAATTAGAAAGTTATGAGATAGAATGCCAAGAAAAATTTTAAGAGTATAACTTATGATAAAATTTACTAAGTTGAAAAATAATTTTATAAAATATTAAATATTAATTATCAAAAAATGCAAACATATTTAAAGGGAGTGAACAAATTTCTAATTTTTTGTTACAAGCAATTTAAGACTTGCACATTTTAAAAACTAAATGGCGTTTGAAAGCATAGTAACTTGGCAGCATTTTATCATTATAATTATACTCTTATACTCATCACTTTATTAAGTATCCTACAAAACTTGCTTTTTCAGGGTCATCACTGATTTTGATAAACTTGAATTTATTAGATGAAAGAATCAAATAGAGTTGCTCCCTTTTAATTACATGGAAGCTTTCCTCTACACATGACGTTTTTATTTGATTTGATTTGATATCATACTGTTTAGTTGCAAGTAAAACATCAGCTAGGTTTTGTCTTCTTAGGCCATCTTTTTGTTTACATTTAAAAAGTATTTTTAAGATAATTATACTTGCTAATAGACCTGAAAGGAACATCAATGTTTCACATGTATGGCAAATTATGAATAAGTTATTTAAACTAGTATGTAGATTCTTAGAAAGTGTAACACAAACTCATTTTTATTATACCATGTATTAAGTCTGAGTTGCAGTGCTTACTATGCTAAGTAGTCTAAGTACTTTCTGTTGAGCATGTTGATGAATTCATTTTAATAATATAATTCATATGCATTTTGAGGATAAGTCATACTAGAATTTCATAATTTTATTCTCTGATGTTTAAACCATTAATCACATTAAAATCTGAATTTTATGTCATAGCACCACTCCTCAAATACTTTGAAATAAAGAATCTAAAGTGGATATTCCTGTGAGGCTTTCTTCTCTAGAGTCTGCTG